GCCCGAGGGGAGGTCCGCATCTGTGAAGAAGATGGGTTCCCCCTCGACCTCTTAGTTGGGGGCATGTGGTTGACCTCCCCAATGTAGAGGGATTGAGCCCATTTCTTTCGTTGGCTGGTGGAGTCTCCACTAGTGTTGCCACCATTAATCATGTGGATGTGGCGTTTGTACTGCTGATGGGAGCCTTCTCCCTCGTCATCCAGGCCCCCAATTTCACGCTTCTTCCCCTGTGGGTTTCCCAAGGGGATGGTGTTGGGGTTAACCCATTTGTTGGCCTTCGGTGGGGGACCCTGGTGATGAGGGGGTCCCTGGGGAGGAGGGCCCCTGACAAATTGGGACAAGTGGCCCGCCTGTATTAGCCTCTCGATGGCTGTCTTCAGCTGGTGACAGTCATCGGTCTTGTGTCCATGGTGGCGATGGAAGCGGCAGTAAGGCTCATCAGGGCTGATGGCATAAATTTCGAGGGGTGTGCGGGAGTCTCGCTCCACGAGCCCTCGCTCCTCTGCGTAATCCAAAATGACGCTGACGGGATGCGTCAGGGGAGTGCGTGGGTGCTCAAGGAGGACGGGTTGCGCCCATGCCTTCGGATTGTTTTTGTAACCGCTCCTGGGTCTGACTTGGCCATCTCGGGGGCGATCATTGTATGGCGCTTCTCGGTTAGCCGGAGGGGGAGGTCCCCCGGGCCGATTTCTGCCCTCGTTCTTTTGAGAAGGATCCGTGTTACGTCGATCCTTTTCGATCTCCTCTGCTTTGGCATAACGGTCCCCCCGCTGGAGGGCCTTTGTATAATCGCGGGGGGGATCAGTGATAAGGCTCCTGGGGAAGTTACCGTTGCGGAGGATGGTGTGGAAGAGGGCCATCAAGGTTCTGTCGTCGGCGCCCTCGACCTCCAGGGAGGCTTGTCTCCAGCGCTCCAGGAAACTCCGAAGGGTTTCTTCCTTCTGCTGCCTTACGTTCAGAAGATGGGAGAAGTGTTTCTTTGAACGATGCCTCCCGGCGAATTGTGTGAGGAAGCGGTGGGCAAGTTCTTGCCAAGAGTCAATGCTGCCTTCGGGCAACCGGTTGAACCATTCATACGCTGGTCCCTCCAAGGTGGAAAGAAACCAACGGCATAAATATTCATCTGAGGCCCCCATCATCATGCTGTTTTGATACCTGTTGTAGTGTTCTTGGGGATCCATCTTCCCCTCGTATGGTTTGATGGGCTGCCCTTGGTATTTGTTGGGGATTTTGGCCGCCAGCACCCTTGGGGTGAAAGGCGTCCAAGTGCGGAGCTGGATGAGGGGCTCGCTTGAGCCTTCGGCCAGTTTGCGCTTCATTTCCTCCACCTACGCCCGGAGATCGGCGTATTCTGGATCCGGTCTCACCGTAGAAGCCGTCGGGGGTGCCTGACGAGTCTCCTCGAGTTGACGGAGGAGGGCCTCGATGATTTCGTCCTTGGGGTCCTTCGGGGCAACCCCTTGGAGGTTGACCTGGAAGGATTGAGCTTGATTGATTCGATGCATGGCGTCCTCGGGGTGGAGGAGGGCTTTGCCTTTGTCCCGAGGGGGAGGCATGCCTTCGGCCCCCGAGGCAGAGGCTCCGCTCTCCTAGGGCCTGCTAATTGGTTGCTTACCGAGGCGGTTTTGGATCCCTCAGTTTCCGGGAACACCCCCTAGCCTCTCAAGTGCAGAGGTCCGGGTTTTTTCCTTATTTATGGGGCGCTTGTCCTTGGACTGGGCCTCTTGAGAGGCGGTATCTTGTGCTATGACCCCCTCGGCGTTGCCAATCCCCATGGGAGGACTGTTGAACAGAGGGGAGAATGGCGGAAAATGGACAACGCTTCCCCCGCCATAGGGTTGGAGGATTGAGAGACATGTTTTGGACGAAGGCCGCAAAGGCAGCCTGAAGATCGATGGCCGGGGCCGGAGGGGGAACTTGGTTCTCACTCCGATCCATCCTTCGATTATCAAGGCCAATGCGGGCATCAAGGGCGTTCTTCTGTAGCTGCTGACGGAGGTCAACAACAGCCTGTTCTAATTCGAGGATGACACCGCCTTCGGGTACCAAAAGCCTGTTGGAGGCCTCAGCCCCGTTGGTGTCGCCGGGGGCTACGTGGTTTTCCTCGAGGGTTTTGGATTGGGCACGAGTTTTTCCCATTTTTTGGTAGAAGTGTTGTGTTTGGTGGATCGCACATAACAGAAAGCAAAATTCCCACATGCAAGAAATCTACAAATAACACACGTCGCCTTCGGGTACATACGCCATTACACCCTTCGGGGATCGCAGAATGTCAGAAACTTTCCACAAAGTCACTGACAATGATGAAGCAGCCTTCATCACAACACATACAGATATTATTTATGCTCCCCTAAAAAAACCCTCGACATGTGGGGGACTGATTGAAGTCTTCGGCTAACAGCAGAAGATAAGTGATCAGTCAAAGGCACCCAACAAAACGATGAAGCCTTCGGGAGAATCAACACAATTACTCCTTTTCCCTCAAGAACCTTTGGGCAAAAGCAGTGGGAGGGTTTCTTACTTGATTGTTCAGAGCTCTCAATGAAAGCACCAAATGATGGATGGTCTACCCGGGGAGTATCTTATCCGAGGGGTTATTGCGGGAATAACTAGAGAGAAGTCAGAGCAAAATAGGAGGAGAGAGAGTCGATTTTATTAAATGAACTCATCAACGTGTGAGAATTGGGATCTCGAGATCGTTTACAAGGAGAAATGGGTTGCTATTTATTGCAGCAATAAATGCGATGAGAGTACACGTGTCAACAATCCAACAGCCGAGGGGTCACGTCACTCGGGGTGGCATCGACAGTGGCATGTTCACCGCATTGAATGTGGTGGGTGGATGTGATGTCGCATTAAATGCGGAGGTTGGCTGTCTCCAAAGGGAATCTTCAATGATTGAGTCTGTTAGCCGAAGGCTCCTTGCGTAGCCGAGGGCTCTACGTAGCCGAGGGCTCTGTGTAGCCGAATGCCTCTCTGACGCCGAGAGCTCAACAGTACTGAAGGCTCATGTTTTCTGTTGTTTTCTCCTAGTAGCTTCGTATGCTCGAAACTGGCCGCCCTGTGTAATTTGGAGCCTTCGGCCAAGGGGCCGAAGGCACCCCAGTGTATATTATGGGCTTCTTCGAGACTTGGGCCGCCGTTTTTGAGCCTGAGATGCTCCCAGGGCTCAATGGACTCGTGTAGGAGAAGTAGGAGTCTATGGGTCGGGGTCACTGGGCCATATACTCCATCACTGACCATTCCGGAATGGAAGTGGGAGCATGTGACCATGGACTTCGTGGTGGGGCTACCACAAACAGTGAACAACTATGATGCGGTATGAGTGGTGGTTGATAGGCTCACCAAGAGTGCACATTTTTTGCCTATCAACATTGCCTATCCTCTTGAAAGGTTGGCAAAACTATACACGGAGGAGATTGTGAGACTACATGGAGTTCTGATATCCATTATCTCGGATAGGGGTCCACGATTCACATCTCGATTTTGGCCCAAGTTTCAAGCGTCTTTGGGTACTAAACTGAAGTTTAGCACAACTTTTCATCCACAGACGGATGGACAATCGGAGCGGGTGATATAGATATTGGAGGACATGCTTAGGGCATGTGCTCTGGAGTTCCAAGGAAGTTGGGACAAACATTTGGCTCTAGTTGAGTTTGCCTATAACAACAGTTATCAGGCGAGTATTGGCATGTCTCCATATGAGGCATTGTATGGGAGGAAATGCATAACACCGTTGTGTTGGGATGAGGTTGGCGAGGCCAAGCTCGAAGGAGTTGAACTTGTTGAAATCACCAAGGCTAAGGTGAAGGTCATTCAGGAGAGACTTAAGGCTGCCCAAGACCGGCAGATGAGTTATGCCGACAAACGACGAAGGCCATTGGAGTTCGAGGTCGGTGATAAGGTCTTTCTAAGGATTTCTCCCTGGAAGGGTATCATCCGATTTATATCGAGGGGAAAACTCAACTCCCGATACATTAGTCCGTTTGAAATCCTTGAAAGGATTGGGGCGGTGGCTTACCGTCTCAAGTTGATGCCAGAACTTGAGAAGATACATGACGTGTTTCATGTATCGATGCTCAAGAACTATGTGCGAGATCCGTCTCATATTCTTGAGAAACCACCGGTGGAGATACGTGAAGATCTACAGTATGCAGTAGAACCGGTGAAGATTGTGGGGCAATAAGTGAAGAAATTGAGGAACAAAGAGATTCCTATGGTGAAGGTCCTTTGGAGGAGTGATCGAGTCAAAGAAGAAACCTGGGAGACCGAGGTCTCAATGAAGGAGCAATACCCGTTTCTTTTCGATTAGACACGTGGATTTCGGGGACGAAATCCCAAATAAGGGGGGGGGGGGGGGTGAACTTGTAACACAGTCCCCAAATGTATTTACCTTTAAGTGAATAATGTATTGAACCTTATGGAACGGTTACTGAATTTACGAAGTTACAATTTTTTATTAATGTTTTTGTGTGAATAGTAAATTCGCACGTGGGGCGCACAATGGGAGCGGGGACCGCCCGATATTCCCGAGAAAATAAATTTTGTTCATCTTGGTCTAGATAATATTTATATGGCGGTGGATATTTCATTTGAGTCATGGGAAGGCCCAGAGTTGACCGTTTGGTCAATTGAGGCCCAATTACCAGTATTGGTAATTTAACAGATAAAAGCCCGGAATTGGATTTCGAAGAGTTATAAACTTAAGTTGGGGAATGTATATTCATTATTAAGGTCATAATGATTAAGAACACATAATATATTTTATTTGACCTGATAAAATAAAATATATTTAAAACAGTCCGAAAAATACAACTTTCGGGACCGATTGTACACTTTGGGACAAATTGGGATGACCTCCCACATGGGTGGGGGCCACCCCACGAAATTGTTAACCCAAAGGGGGCTGATTGAGTACTAAGAGGGCTGGAGGACAAGTGAAAGGATGGGAGGAACACCTTTGACACCTAGTGGACCCCCATTTCCTTACTCATTTGCATGGAAAGACAAAAGAAACTATCCTCCCTCCTCTCTCACTCATTGAGTTCGGCCAAGACACACCAAGAGAGGAAGAAACCTCTCCAAACCACCATCCTCCATAGCAAATTCCAGCTCAAACAAAGGAGTTCCAAGGAGGAAGATTAAAGAAGGAAAACGTTAGGAAAAAGTGTGAAAATTAAGGTAATGACCTTATCATAACTTTTCCTTTTATTATTAACTTAGTATGTACCATCTTATCCATTGTACTTACCGATCAATATAATTTGATCACTTTCAAATGCATAAGAAATTAACAATAAACTATGTCTACAATATCATTATATCAATTGATTAGGCATCCACATCTACAGAATTGTTTCAGGACGTGGTAGATTTTTTTGAGGATGATGGATGATGAGTAGAGGTGATTTGAAGAGATTATTTTGTATAATAGTCCACAAGAAAAATATCCAATACGAATCCGGAATTCTAATTGAGAAGAATAATAAGTTTTGAAATCGTGCATTTGCACAATTTAATGAAGAAATTGTCATAAATAGAACACTTGTGACCGATTTATACAAAATTATCCAAAATTTCACTGTCATCTATGAGAGAAAATCTGGAGTTACAAGATCGAGGATCTCTTCAGATTGTCAAAGAGAGTGCTGTCTAATTTTGTCAAAGAGATTGTAATTTATACTATCTAATTATTATGGAGTTGTCGATCAAAAAAATTATTGAGTTGTATTTGTCTAGTGACAATATTATTTTTGGTATGTTCGTATGATTGTATGTAAATATGGGGAGATTTTGTTTCCTTGAATTGAATACCATGCTTCAACTATACCAGTACGATAGAACTAATTATGCAATCATTACTTGATAAAGATGGAAACAATAAAAGTTACTTATGAAAAATCTATATAATTGTTTACTTACTAAAGATAGGAAATATTTACCTTATGTAACCATAAAAATGCAATAGAATTATATACTCCGTAATTGTTACTCCATCCATCGATAAAAGAAGTTATTTATAGTTATATATCCGCAATCTCTCAAGTCTCATCATCATATGATATCTTGGAAGCATTTTTTTTTTGGAAGCTTTATTATTTGAATAGACAATAATATCAGTGCCTGGTTCATGCAACATGCAAACGAAGCTTCAACTTGGTTTCCCAGGTACTCTCGTCAAACTCCATGTTTCATGCCTTTGTAGGAGAAGCGGCTGTCAATCCTCTTTTGCTTTTCTAGCTTAGTTATATTTTTGTAAAATAATACGAGAGTGTGTAAATGTATATTGGTTGTGTGACCTTTTTATATGAAATACTTTCAATACTTCACATACAATGATACAAAATTGTGTGAAAAGTTTGTGCAAAGTAGTTCAGTTTGTCTTAAACAAAATCATGATATAATTATCACCATGAAAATATGGAATCATACGAACCGAAATATCTCTTAGCAGATGTTTTCTCCTATCTTGGATTGAATGTCTCTATTTCATAAGTAAATAAAGTAATGAACTTGTGGTGGAAAACGTATGAAACCTCTCATCAGTAAATCAACAAATACTCACTCCATGGTAGGATTGGTAGGACAATTGATAAAGCGGTGGAAAGTTCAATCGGAACTTTGGATGAATGAACAAGAATCAAAACCCGCAACTACGGTGTGAAGGTCAAACTTATGTGTGTTGGGTTAGGCCTCTAGTGCACATGAATATAAGATTTACCATTTTTAGAACTGATTGAGTCACCGTGATTTACAAAATCTCGTTCTGTCGGGTCGGGGATTGAGAGTCTTTGAGCTTTGGGATTCAACCTTGGCGTCTTTGGTATATTTTTTTTTGAAAAGAATGAAATTAGTTTTCTATGACACTCGGGGTTGGAACCGGTTCGTTAAAGACAAAGGAATTGGCGCGAGAGATATGGTGGTTTTCTCCGCCTACGACTGTCCAGATGAAAATGGGTCAGGAAGACGGACCATTTGTGTGGTAGACGTGGAATTCAACAATGACGATTCCAAGGCAGAAAACGCCTATGAAGGAAATACGACAAAGGAGGGCATTTATGAGAATTTCCACGAGAAGAAAGAAGGGTTAGAAGTGGAAACTGGAAATGAGGCTAGGGGTGAGCAAATAACCGATACAACCGATCTAACCGAAAACCGATGACCGAACCGACCGAAAAATTCGGTTTTTGGTCGGTTATCGGTTGTTAAAAATTTAAACTTTCGGTTTTTCGGTTAATCGGTTATTATTCGGTTATTGTTATCGGTTATCGGTCGGTGACCGATAACCGACCAAAATATATAAAGCTTTACTAAAAACACTATTTGGGGTAGTTCCCGGTAGAATTTTTTAATGAAATTTTATGAGCATGTTCCTTATGAAATATAGATTATCTCCACTAAATTTCACCTTAAAATTCAATCGGGAAGTCAGTTAAATATTTTTTTTCAATTTACAGCGCCAAAATACATAAAAACGCAATATTTTTCAAAAATTTATTTAACTAACTTCCGGATGGAATTTCAAATTGAAATTTGGTGGAGATTATATACACTTCAGTAGGAATATGCTTATAAAATTTCATAAAAAAATTCCACTGGGAACCACCTTAAATAAAAAAAATGCTAAATATTTCTACATGTTCGGTTATGGTCGGTTTTTCGGTTACCGACCAAAACCGAACTTCGGTTTTTCGGTCGGTTAGAGTTATACTATCGGTCGGTTATCGGTCGGTCATTCCAATTAAAATTTTTGGTCGGTTATTCGGTTATCGGTCGGTTATTTGACCGACCGACCGAATGCTCACCCCTAAATGAGGCGGAGAAAAAAAAAGGATGACACCTCATCCCTGAGGGGCCCCAAACACCGACCGGACGACACGATGAGAGAATGTAAATTGGACTATAATCACAATCTGACAGATACAGAGTGGAGCTCTGTCCCGGGTACTTGCAGAAGCCCTATGCATTTTTTTAGCATAGTAACCCCTCATCGCAGTAGCCGGGATTCGAACACGAGACCTAACCCTTGTGGCACTCTCTCGCTACTAGTTGAGTTACGCTCACCGGTAAAAGAAATTATCTGAGTTTTCCACGGGGTAAAACTAGAAACTACTTTTGCTACAATACTAATTACACTGCCTACTACTATTTTGCCTAATTAGTTAACATTATTACCGTATTAATTAGTTGCCTAATTACTAATCCGTAGTTGGAGTTCTTGTATTTCTCTCACAGGTTTTAACTCTCAAAAGTGAGAAGGATATATATACTTAATAAATGTTACCTATAGCATGGAGTACTAATTTTCAGGTTTTCATATAATATATGTAACATAACATCTGGAAAATAGCATATATTGTCATAATCATTCCGGTGTAAAGGAAGTTGTTAATTGTTATAGTCATTACATATTAAAATCATATCATTGTTATATATCGGCTGTTTTGGTTGATTCTGCTGAAATTCCTGAAGTTCTGGCTGAAGTGGCTGCATTGGCTGATTCTGCTGATTTAAGAAACAATTATTTTTAAAATATATTTTATTAATAAAAAAGAAAAAATTATATGTAAAAATAGCTAAAATGGTCATCTACAGTAACTACAGCCAAAATAGCCAGAAAAGTAACTTCAACCTTACTTTTTCTGCTTATTACACAACTCAGCGCGCGAAAGTAAAAGTTACGTGTTTGGTGAAAAAGTTGGTTGATAAGCCGAAAAACAGTGCTGCCAAACGGCCTCCTAGTGAGTGTATGTTTGCATGAAAAATCAAATTAATAGTTCACACGCATTATTAATTATAGGGTTTAAATGACTGGTAGTCACTAGTGTGATGTTATAAAAGGTATTATCACATTTGAAATTGTACAGGGTTCAAAACTAATAATGTATTGTATGTGAAAACTGTGTGACTATTATTTTAAGTGTCAATCGACTGTAACGGATTCAAGTTCACTATAGAAATTGACATATTATACATAATTACATATCTATATGGTAAATGATATTATGAATGTATAAATGCATGTGATTTCTGTATCTATTGATTTGTGTTTGGTGAAAATGAGGCATAATTATAAATGATAGTATCAATGTTGCAAATATATTTGACTCATGTGTAAATGCAATATGCTTTCTTGATATAAATGATACGAAGTAGGGAGTATGTGTTTAGAGTAAATGTTGTTATAAATGATACGAATTACTACCTCCGTTCCAGTGAATTTTGCATAGTGAGAAATAAGAATAGTTAAAACTGTATGGTTGAGATTTGTGCAGAGAAGAGAGAAATATGCAGAATCACAAATTAATTGTTTTAATAGGAAAATGACCAAGTTTTTTGGGCAACAAAAATGCAAAGTTACAAAATCCAATAGGACGGAGGGAGTATGTGTTTAGTGTCATTTTTCATGTTTAATATTTAGTCCATTTCATCAATGACGTAAGTGTAATACAATTGATCTTCAGGATAATTTGAGTTTGCATCCCATTTTATCATGAAAATTGGACTTTGCACCCTATTTTTTAAAATCTTTGCTTTTGCAACCCAACCCCATATGAAAAGACAAAACGCCCTTGACCAAGAATATGTTGAAGGCCAACAAAATTGTTAATAGAGTGACATTTTTGTCTTTTCATATGAGGTCGGGTGCAAAAACAAAGTTTTTGAAAAACATGGTGTAAAGTCCAATTTGCACAATAAAATAGCGTGCAAACTCGGGATTGCACCGTTAATTTTGATTTTTGAATAAACCCGTGGAACTGCAGCAATTCTGGACAACACGAACAAAATTTGCAGCAAACGCAGAAAACATCAATTTAGTAAGAAATGATGGAGGAAATTTGATATGAAGCGGGAAGAGCATGGGGCGGGACGGGCTTGAGCCCACCTTCGTGGGCTGGCTGCGAGCAATTTAATTAATTTTAATTATTGCTTTTATTTTGTTTCCTAATTTATTTTGTTTCCTAGTATGATTTAATTAGGACTTCTAATAATTAGAGGTTTCCTATTTCTATTTAGTTTCCTTGAATGGTTTAATTAGGACTCCTATTATGTTTCTTACTAGGATTTAGTTTCCTATTCAGTTTTGGATGTAAGGGTTATATAAACCCCTGCCTAGGCTTATTCAAATCAGGCATTAATAATATTGGTTTTAGCTTTTTAGCTCTGGGCAACGGATCCAACCGTTGATTATTTTGGGCAACCGGTTACCCCGTTGATTTTATTTTTCTGTTCTTATCAATTGGTCTGACCTGCCGGATCCCGTCCCGCCAAGATGACCAGATCACAAAGCGATCGTTTGATAGAACTGGAGACTGAACAGAACCGCATGGGAGAAGAACAAGTGCGGTTGAGTGCTGAGCAAGCCAGGATGGCGGAGGAGCAAAAACGGATGAATCACACCCTTGAAGAACACGGAACGAAGCTGGCAGAAATCGCTAAATCGTTGGCCGCGCTGACGAAGGCCCTAGTGCCGCCAGGTACGCCGGAAGCCACCAAGCCTGGAATCGGAGCCATCATCACACCGGCGACTGGTGACGGACTGCTGCCCAACCCAGTTCCTACCCTGCTGCCTACCCTGCTGCCTGCGTTCGACGGGGCAGATCCGATTGGGTGGATAGCCCGTACTGAACAACAATTTGAATTACTCGGAACTCTACCGGAGAAGAAAGTCGTAGCCGCCGTGGTGGCCATGGAGGTAGGGGCCCTCTATTGGGTAACATGGTTGAAGGCACGAAGACCCGGTATAACCTGGGAAGATTTCAAGCAGTCCCTAGTGTCCAGATTTGATTCCCGATTTCAGGGGAATCAATTTGAACGACTGTCCGGCGTCAAACAAATTGGGCAAGTGGAAGATTACAATACTTTGTTTGTACAACTGGCTAGTCAAGTACCCGGATTAACTGATGATCATTACTTGGGCTATTACATGAGTGGGCTTAAGGAAACAATCCGAAGTTCGCTGCGATTGCTTCGGCCGAACAACCTGGAGATGGCTATGGAATTAGCTCGCGAAGTGGAGCATAATCTGTCCGTCCAAAGTGGAGGAGGTGGCAGCCTGAATTATCATTCTTCAGGGGTACGTTCTAGCAGCCTTTTAAGGGCAAACACAGGTTTCCCGTTGACTGGCAGCTTACAGGGTTCGGAGGGCAACTTTCTGAAAGATAGTGGACAGCCTCCGGGGACAAAATCAGGGATGTCTGGGCAACCTACGACACGCTCTCAGTTCACTCGACTTCCGCCGAAAGAGTTTGCAGAACTGCGGGCGAAAGGATTATGCTTTAGGTGCAAGAAACCATTTACACCAACACATGACTGCCCCTTTAAGCAGCTGCGGGTAATGATAGCTGAGGAGGATGAAGAGTTGGACCTTAAGCAGCATGAATTCTGTGAAATAACCGGCCAGGAAAAGGTTCCGGAAAGAGAAGAAGGATATTTTCCAGTCTATACTATGTCAGGAAATTTCAGTTCCCGATCCGCGAGTTTTCAACCTTGAGGACAAGGTTAATTTGAAGGAGGATGGATTGATATGAAGCGGGAAGAGCATGGGGCGGGACGGGCTTGAGCCCACCTTCGTGGGCTGGCTGCGAGCAATTTAATTAATTTTAATTATTGCTTTTATTTTGTTTCCTAATTTATTTTGTTTCCTAGTATGATTTAATTAGGACTTCTAATAATTAGAGGTTTCCTATTTCTATTTAGTTTCCTTGAATGGTTTAATTAGGACTCCTATTATGTTTCTTACTAGGATTTAGTTTCCTATTCAGTTTTGGATGTAAGGGTTATATAAACCCCTGCCTAGGCTTATTCAAATCAGGCATTAATAATATTGGTTTTAGCTTTTTAGCTCTGGGCAACGGATCCAGCCGTTGATTATTTTGGGCAACAGGTTACCCCGTTGATTTTATTTTTCTGTTCTTATCAAAATTGGAAAATGAGAATTTTTAAAAAAAAATAGTCCCTCGATTTGATCGGGAGATATGCATACTCGATGAAGAACCATTTGTTGTGTACATAAATTTTCTATACTTTTTGTGTACACTCCTAAATTGTCTATCTACAAGGTAATTAACTTTTGAACTAATTGTCTAAGTGAATAGAGAATTAAGAGGTGTCTAACTTTTGAACTTTTTGTGTACATACTTTGTCTATCTACAAAGTATGTGTACCTTGTGTTAGATGCCTAGCACCTTATAGTTAGATGACATTAGTGGGGCATTTCAAGGAATAAGTTACAGTTTTGAAACTCATCTCAATAAAAAATATTGTCATTTAATAGAAGATACTATGAGAAAAGAGAAAATTCAACCAAAAACAATATTTGTGCTAGATTAATTAGCACAAGTGGAGGACAAAAACAAAATTTTCATTAATTGCTTAGAGTTCTTCATAACACACCTTTAGCCATGTATACTAATCGTAATTAGAGTTTCTTTTTTTTAATCGTAACTAAATTCCATTTCCAACATTCAGCCATTCTATTATCATCAAAAATTATAAATTACTCCATAGTAATGTTAATCAATCATTAAGTGGTAATCCAGCAAACAACATACGGGCGTGGTACGGCCGCAGCAGACGCGGTGGCCGGTGGAGGCAATCTGCTTAACCAGACACAATTCTCTCGGCAAGAAGAGCTAACTGCTCCGCCGAGCATATGCAGCAGCCTTTCGAATAAAGCGCCCTCTGAGCCACCGGCGAGTTCACCGCCACAAACAACATCCGTTGCCGGTTGAGCTCGGCGATTGGCCCGAGAGTGCTGTGCGGTCCAGGGCCAAAGTTTCCAAGTGAGGAAAGATCTCCACAAACCGGCATGCTCTGGAGGACCATAACCTGCGCCTGGAGGAACTTGACGTATTTGTAGGCCTCCTCCAGCATCTTCGCCCTCTCCATCTTTCTCTCCCACGGCATCAGCTTCTCGAGCTGCCGAATCTTCTCGCCTTGCTTCTGCCTCCTCACTCTGGCGAGTTTGCTGGATCTGCTCTCACTCCTCTTCCTCACTAACGCTGGTTTCTCGCGCGGATGGTAGAGATTCGTCGGAATCTGGTAGTTTCTGGTCGTTTTCTCGGGAATGTAAGGCGGAGGTCGGAATCCGAAATCGGTATTCACAGGAACCGGTTGAATTTCCAATGATCGGAGATCAGGAAAGTGACGAACCAAGCGGAAATCGGTATTCACAGGAATCGGTTGATTTTCTAATGATCGGAGATCAGGAAAGTGACGAACCAAGCCGAAATCGTTGGGAAAGTGAGCAGAGAAATTTGAGTCAATATCCGTGGATATAGCGCCGCCTCTATTGTCGTATGCATTGGAACCGAACTCCTGTTGAGGACCTTTCAACTTCAGCTCCAAATCTACACCATCGCTACCAAGTCGACTTAGAGGAGTTAGAGCCGACTGTGACGGGAAAGCATTGGATGATCGGAGAGTCGGATTTTCCGGAGAGCCAGAAACATTAGGACGAACGGCAATAGCCTGAGATAACTGCAACAGAGGCCTCTGTTCTTCTGTGTTGAGGCTCAAACTCAGAAGATCCCGGAAGCTGATCTGCTCACCGTCAATATAGGCTTTGTCGTCCACCGGCATAGTCAACGGCGGAGCAAAAACACATCCGCCGCCGTTGAAGACCGATTCCATTTCCATTTCCATCTTCATATTCAGATCAAGGTTAGAATTTCTGCAAAGGTATTCGCGGAGAGGAAGTTATATACGGAGTGATTCGCAAAAGGACACGCGGGGCTGGGGATACGACAGGGAAAACAAACGGTTTTTTTGCAGTGGCGCCAGATTTCAGGTGCCTCACGCTTTTGAGTGTACTGGAGAGAGAAAGTAGCGTTTTAACGGAGTTCATTTTATACGGAGTATTTGAAGCTTTTTGTTTTCTTCCGTTCGATTAAAACAACGCCGTTTGGCCTCGCTTGTGGCCAGCTCAGACAAGGACAAAAGAACGGGAGTACGAAATGTGTAGGACAGGGGTATAATTGGCTATTCACTTTTCTTTTTGGACAGAATTTTGGTACCGAGTAATTAATATGGAGCCAGAGAGGCGAGATGTTTCAGCCTTTCCGGCAAGGAGGAAGAGGGAGTGATTGTGGCTGTATGCCACAAGCAAGGCATACCTGCTTAATACTCTCTAACTTTTGTAACTTTCCCTTACAATTAATTTATTTATTTATATTTGGTACAAGTATTGTAGTCCTTATAAGTTATATACGAAGTATAAGTGACAACTGAATATTATAAAAGGTGTTCAACTTCTACCTCTTTGATTTGGAGTATCCAATGTAAAATTGGCAAACTTTACCAATTTATACAATGAACTTGTTCAAAATACATGTGAGTGTGATGAATATTCAATGTAGAATTGTAACTTTTCTAAATATCATAAATATATTGTGAGGATGGGTTCAATGTGAATTGTATATAATGTGACTGTTAAAATTTTTATTATGACCATTGAAGATAAACAGTCATATTTTATGTGTATCCTATTACTATATAAGTAGTATTTAGTCATAATCTCTCTATATATATAAACAAAATGGTGGGAGGGGGATATGGTTGGGATAGTGTAGCATTTAGTGTAGGATCTTGTTAATGCGGTAGCCAAAGTTCTACCCAGAATATACAAATCGTGCACGATATATTTCCAAAAATTAGCAGTTTAAATTCTACCGCAGTGAATAAAAAGATAGTTTTGAGAAACAATAAGAGCATATAATGAGAGAGATTTAAAATAATTTTTCAACAATACAAATATAGTATCAACGGCATCAGTCGATACTTTTGTAGCACATAATCTTAGAGGTTTTTGTCGAGCTTTATGCCAAGCTTCCTTACACACACTAAATGTAATGTTATTATTAAGAGATAACTATCCTAGCTTAACTGGGACAACCCTTAGCTTCAATGGTTACATCATTCAAGCAAGGTCTAAACATCTACTCTATATGTTAGATCATATAAGAAGTGCTCTACTAGAAATACTAGTGGTGAAAAAGCAACTGAAGAAACGCATTGAAGATGATCGAGTTCCTATGATACCTACTAAATTATCAACGCAAAAGTTGAAAGAATACATTTTTTCTTATTATATATCCCTTCATTACATACTATCGTACATAATAATTTCAAGTAAGGCATATTCTAGATAAATTGTGGGAAAACAAACATGCACATATTGGACGGAAATGGGATCTCACGGGTATTCATGTTCTTTTCATGCAATATCTTGTCTTTCTTTTATGAGAATGAAGGCTGATGAAGATTGTGTCCATTATTACTATAACGTCTATAAGAGAGATGCCTACTTAAGGAGTTACACTCGTAAAATTGATCCATAATCAGAGGTCGAAATATATTGGCCAATATCATATTTTTTACTCTATGCCCTTCGCCCCTTCCTAACAAAGAAGGCCTTGGAAGGCCACAAAAGAAAAGAATAAGTAAGTACCCTCACGATCCTAAAAAATCACCCCATTGCCAAGATGTGATAGGGAGATGCATTACATGATTATAGCATCTGTAAGCCAAATGGACACACAAAAAGAAAGTGTAATAGTAAATGTGATGAGCTGCGCGCACAACCACTCCAAAGAAGCAAAGAAGGAGGCCTAGAAAGGTATCACTTGATGACGAACCTTTTTTCTCTAATCACCATTCGTGTGTTTGCCAACCTTCAAATACGAGTAGGAATGGAATGAATATCTCTTACGATCGTTTTTTAAACAACTAACTGGGTGTATTGTTTAAAAAATCCAGATTCCAAGTGGATTAAAATAATGGCATGGGCCAATGAAATATATTATAGGTACGGCACTATTATCCTTCTTAATTGCACTTACCCTTACCTATATCCTACCACTTATCATTTACCCTTGGTCCCTTGCTGTTACTTTTATCCCGATCTTACCCTTACCCTTACCCCGTACCCTAACCCCCACTACATCTTCTCGTACTCGTACGCGTAACTTACCCCTACCCCTACTCCCTACCTGTTCCCTGTACCCGGCCCGTAAGTAAAAAGTCCTTGTATGAAAAATAAGAATATAGTCTTGATTAGTCACTATGTTTTTCACCAAATAAGTAGAAAATTGGGTGACAAAATTGAGTTGTCACTAACTTAGTCACTCATATTGTGAAGTGCCAATTGGTGGTGTCTAATTCATTGTCACCCTATTGTATTGGTGAATAATTTACTCACTTTACAAATAAGTGAGAAACTAAGTGACAATTTTGTGATTCGGTCACCTCTAATCACCACGGTTTGAGAGACGATCACATTGATTGTCACCTTGTTTGTCACTAAACTAATGTAATGAATATAATTTTTTATTAAATATAAAATAAATTGATTTATATATTTTACATTAGTATTATTAGTAACATAATTCAAATTAATTTTCAAGATGAAAAATGAAATTACGTATAACTGCCAAAATAAAATCTCAATTAACGAAACTAAATATCAATGAACACACTGTGAAGACTATGTAATTGGAATAAAAGCATAGATTAAACATATGTCTCTAGCCATAAAAAACAAACTGTTTTAACAATTAATGTAAACATACAATAATTCCAAGCAAGCTGCATAAACGAAAAGGGGAAAAATATCTAAAACTAATTTCTAGACGGCGGCGGCAACAATGACGAGCTAAAATTCATCAAGTCGGTAAAATCCATTCCTCCATTTTGAGCTCCATTTTGAAAACATTGTCCTTGTGATGCCATTTGTGAGAACGGGAATTGTTGGAAAGGAAATATGGAAGTACTTGGAGCTAGAGTTTGAGTAGGAAGTCTGGAGTTTTGCATGGCCAAAGAGTTACGGTACTCCGCAAAACGAGTCATCCATGTCCTATCGTTTTCTTCAATAGCAGCTCGAACTACAGTTTGAACCGAGCCTTCTATACACTCCCGAATGCTAGTAGTAAGTGCAACTTTGATACGATTATCAATTAATTCCTCTAAATTCTCACAATGCATAAAAGTAGATGTGTCGCCTCGAGATTTGGTCTGAACCTCGCTAGAAAGACTCCCTAACCCGAAAATCTTACCACATTCGGGAGGTCCAAAATGCTCCATAAAAATTTCATCCTCATCTATAGGTTGTGAGTCATCATTGACCTCCTCTCTTGCTTTTTGTCTAGCAGCTAGAAAATTTTCCTGATACAAAAAATATTTAGTAAATCATATAAACCATCTATTAGTAAAAAAATTCCTGATAAAAAAATTCTTAAATAAATACAAAATATCTATTTAACTATCTTACATAGCATCTCTTTATCCTCGGACCACTCCATTCACGAGTTCTTTTTCTCTTCCATGTGACAGCATACAACTCCCGCATGAAAATCCTCCTACCAAGTATTTTCCTCTTTGAAAAAAAACAACATTAGTAAATGAATAAATCCAAAGTTTTTATCTAGCAATAAATTAAATATAAAAAAATTACCAATCTTTTCTTATGATTAGCAGTAGTGATTGACCCTCCACAATACGGGTTGTTTTTGCATGATTCTGATGATCGGGCTTTTTTTCCCTTAGCACTAAGTTTTTTGAACTCCGGAGAGGCCCAATATGTCTGAAGATCTTTAAAATCATTCTCAGCAATATATTCTGGTGGCACGTTTTCCTCTCGTGCCGTTTGTAACATTTTCTTGAGACCTTGGCTAGCATATTTGTCAAAAAGCCGTCTGAATTTCTTTTTTGCTGAGTCCGGAAATGGATGAGTCAACTGCAAATACATAGCAACTTTAAATTACTCCTACCAACTGAAAAGATCATTAGGTTCATAAATATTTAAACGTGATTTAATTTAATTAAGTTACCCTGAATTCCTCAAACCAGTGATCTCTATCAGTTTTAGGCACTTTCCGATAAGACCTCCAAGGTCCACTAAAGCGAGATTTCATGATTGCCTTAATTTCTGTATGTGTTTTGCGGCTTTTTAACAATAAAAAACAAAAAAAAAAGATAATTTGTTAGAAATAAGTGGTTCAAGTAACATACTATTAAACATGGCTATATAGAAACATATAAACTAACCGATGCATTTCGTCTAAGGAAAATGGTGTGACATCCGTTTCTTGGGGTTGCTCTCCATTTGATGAATGCGGTGATGCAGGAGTACTTGGAACATGAGATCTACTTCCCTCTCCACTTGAATATTGACTTCCAATCATAGGACTCGATGAGGGTGATGATAAGCTATCCCTACCTCTACCTCTACCTCGAGGTGCACAACTCTCCCGTGCACACAAAGCACGTCCTCCACGTGTCCGCATCTTTGATTTAGTAAAATTATGTTAAACATATTATCAAGATCAAATAGTTATAAAGCAACACCACTAAACTTATTGGATGAAACACCCATATTAATTTCAATTCCAAACATATCAATTCGTAAAAAGAGCACAAACTAATCGATTACTTTCTAAATAACTGTCTACATAACATAACTAAATAACAAAGAGATGAATTACATATTTAAACATATTTTTGTTTCATACAATTATTTAATAAAAAAAAAATCATCAATCAAACTGAATAACTATGCATTAAATATACAAACAGGGTAATTATGTAGATGCCATATCATGCTATAATTAAGTGATTAGGATTGATCCTATGTGACAACAACCGGGCTCTGCTCCTTTTAACTGACCAAATCAAGAAATGAAATAGGAATTGAGCAAACAAGGCACACAGTAACAAAAGCGTAATTGTTAAAAGCCAAAAGCAAATGAACAATTCAGTAAAATTGAAAGTATACTTTGAATTACTGTTTTTATTGTTGGAATTAAACAAATAAGTAGTAATTCGATGCTCCCTGGGTGAGTGCGTGACTTGCGTGGCTGAATTTCAGTAGTGACTCTTCTCAATTTTCTCTCTTAAGCTTCCGAGCCCAGTTTTGACGCAATAACTTAGGGTTCTGCGGTGCCGTCTTAATTTTAGTACCCCATATCTCTTAACCAAACAACCAAACGATACCGTTTGGATTAAGTCAAGAAAATAAACAGTCGGAAACAATAGAGACACGGAGCATCGCAGCAGCAAAATCGCAAAACTACAGAGGAAAACAGGAGAGGAAGGTAGAAGACGACCCGAGGCGCCACAAGATTTACACCTATATATACCTAACCGACTCCGGCTCGCCCACCCCTGGTCCCGCCCCTGTTAGGATGGATTCATCTACAATTTTTTATAAAGATGGCTCTGCTCAACTAACTTAATTTTAAAACAACACTGCGTGCATTACCTGGATGATGGAGATAGAGAAGCAAGGGATTCAGGCTTGAAATCTATCTGAACTTCCTGCTTTGCTTATTCCACTATCTCTTTCTTTTTCCCTCGTCTTTGTAAGTTGTGCGGCAAAAAGTGGGTTGTGCGCGCGGATATTATTTAGTGGGAGCAGTGGTTGTATTTTAGTGGGACAATGGTAGGAAGTGGTGAAAGTGAGAAAATTTAGTTCTAATATTATTTTTTTATATTTACATTTTCATTCTTATCCTAAATACTCCATACAAGATTTAGTTTTAATATTATTTTTTTAAATTAATGAACGAAATTTGCTAATAATTATACTAAGGATGTTTTAATTGGATTGGAATTTTGTGCTTTGATTTGATTTGATTTTGTCTACTATGAATTGATCTCGTCTGGTCTTACATAAGTCTGGTTTTCGTATATTTTATAAATATTCAAGTCTGATCTGGTCTGGTCCACTCTGGTCTAATCGCATCTGGTTCTCAAACAAAAAAAGTCCAAGTATACGCGTCTGTATTTTAATTATTTAATTATCACTTATTCACATTGTACAAAATTAAGTAATTTCAAAATTTTTACTTATCAGATCAAACCAAATCAGACCAGATCATAAACGGAAGAATTGTAAAAATACAAAGAGACCAAACATTACCAGACCAGACTAGACCAGATCAGACAAGACCAGACCAGGCCAACAAATTATAGTCCAAGCAAAAACATCCTAATCTGACCCTTTTTGTTCTAATATGATCTAATTTGTCATGAGACCAAACCAATCCAAGTAAAAACATTCTTACTAAATTTTAAATTTGTTATTAATTTAAAATTGACAATAAATTCGAAGTATATATTTCTAATATTTTTATATCACTCATTGAATAATATACTAATCACAGTCGCGTCAAATGATTTTAAGTGTTGTTTAATCAATTTAAGTTTAGTTAAATGATTTTAAGTCTAATCTAGACCTGAGTACATTCTAATAAATTCATCCCTAGTTCTAATTAAGTGTGATTGTGGTTTGGATTGAAACAATTTTTTAAAAAAAAACTTATTTTTTATTAATTAATTTGAGTCAGATAATAAAATAAACTTAGCATTTGTTAAGGAGCTGTAAATAGAAGATGAATTAAATGAAGTGACATAGCTTTCAAAATTTCAAGCGTGAAAGAAAAATCAAATAATAACAAACAAATTTATATAGAATAGCTATTCTAAATTGAGTAAATTCCCTTTCAAGGAAAAATCTATTCTAAATTCAAAGAGTGGAAAACAACTAATAAAATCCTTCATCTTCAACTTCAACTTCGACATCTTCACTTTCATCAGAATCCTGACCTTCATCCTGATCAGAATCCTCTTGACCTGCGTTAGTTGGCTCAATGGCATCCTCAGGATCAACATGTAACTCAATGCCATTGGGATCACGCAAAGGAGGCATTGTCTCAATCGGATCGATTTGGGGCACTGCATCTGGTTCATCTGTCTGATATGCAAATTCCTCTTCTTTTACATTCTCGATCGGTGCCCTTTTTGCACTTGTTTTACATGCGCACAACCAATCACTTCCTTTTCTCATAGATGGATAGCTTGCATAGTAAACTTGCATAGCTTGTTGGGCTAGAATAAATGGCTCATTCATTTTGTACTTGTACTTAAAGTTAACATCTACAATGTTGTACTTGGCATGTTTTCTTACCCCCTTGATAGGATCAATCCATGAACATTTAAATAAGACAACATGTAATCCCATTGGGCCGGGATAGTCAAGCTGGATAATTTCCTCAAGACAGCCATACCAATCGGTATCAGAATTGGCGTAATTGGAAGAGCGAACACATACACCACTATTGTAAGTTGCTTTATTCAATCCCCTTTCAACAGTATGATAATTATATCCATTAATGAAATACATAGGCCAAGTAGTTGCAAGAGACTTTGGGCCCCAAGCCAGGGAAGATAAAAGTGGATCACCAATACCATTAACAGGAGAGTGTACCTAAAACAAAATATATATGTATATTTCATTATCGAGCTAAGTGACAACAACGGAACAATATATCAAAACGGCTACGTCAACTTACAAGATCTTTGAACCATTTTGCGAATTGAGAAGATATCAGTTTATCGAGTTCACTCTCATCTTGGCCTTGAAAGTTTTCAATAAATTGCCTGTTCATGATATTTCAACTTACACTCCTTGAAGCATAACATATTAAAAGGAAAATTAAAATGTTGTTATGATTTTTTTACCTCAAGTATGGATCAACTTCAGGGCAATTTACTAATATATAGGTTTGAGCAATTCGTAACTCTTCACCAACGACAAACCGATGATGCTTTTTGCCAGATCCTCTACCAGGATAGTTAAAAATTGAAAAAGCTCCCTTTGACGTTGTACCTCCACCATCATCATTTCTTCCAACACGTCGTTGTTTGCATCTTACATGACTCTCAAAGTAGTATGATGCAAATGTGGAAATCTCCTCTGTTATATAGGCCTGACAAATAGATGCTTCGACGTGTGCTTTATTTTTCACTTTTTTCTTCAACTCTCGAAGGAATCTACAACACAAAATACACATTAAATATGTTAGTTTTCACAAAAAACTTGAATATATATATATATATATATATATATAATTTTTCATAAATTTTAATAAATACCTTTCAAAAATGTACATCCATCTGTATTGTGCTGTACCAGCAACCTTGGCTTCATATGGCAAGTGAATAATGAGGTGTTCCATATGATCGAAAAATGCAGGAGGAAAAATCTTTTCCATATTGCACATAAGTATAGGTACAGTCCTTTCAAGATCTTGTATAGCTGTGGTGTCAAGAACAACTGAACACAATGTCTGGAATAACATGCTAATCTCGGTAAGGCAGCCCCAAACATGAGGTGGAAGCATATCTCTGAATGCTATAGGTATAAGCCTTTGCATGAACACGTGACAATCATGACTCTTCATATGCATTAAGCGTGACTCGTCAAAGTTCACACATCTTTTCAAGTTTGACATATATCCATCTGGAAATTGTAGGGACGTAATCCATTCCAGAATGCATTGGGCTTGCGTATGGGTAACTGTGTACACGGATTTATTTATAGGCCCCACAGAATCACTTTGAACCTCAATGTCCGGACGACTACAATACAAAGCGATATCTTTTCTTGACATCAAGCCATCTTTTGTTTTACCCTTGACACCCATCACAGTATTAAAAATATTATCAAAAACGTTCTTCTCGGTATGCATCAAATCCAAGTTGTGCCTAATAAGTAGGTTTTTCCAATATGGAAGCTCCCAAAAAATGCTTTGTTTAGTCCATTTATGCTCTACTCCATACCCACTTGGTTTTTCATTAGGCTCTTTTATTGCCGATGGAATGGATCTGACACGCGCCCAAAGTTCTCCTCCATTCAGACGAGGTGGTGGTGCACTTCTCTCTATCTTGTCTTTTAAAAAAGACGTTTTATCCTTTCGATAAGAGTGATTAAGAGGCAAGAACTTCCTATGACAGTCAAAGTGACATGGCTTCCTACTATATTTTAGATAAAAGGCACTTGTATTCTCCATGCATATTGGGCAACTCATTATCCCAGCCGTACTCCACCCAGAAAGCATACCATATGCAGGAAAGTCACTAATTGTCCATAGAACACAAACATGCAACCTAAATAATTCCTTACGTGCAGCGTCAAAAGTAACAACTCCTGTATCCCACAACATCTTCAATTCATCAATTAATGGTTGCATGTAAACATCAATTTTGTTTTTAGGGTTATTTGGTCCAGGAATTATCAGCGTTAAAAACATATATGGACTTTTCATGCACATGCCTGGTGGGAGATTGTAAGGAGTCAATATAACTGGCCAACATGAATAATTTTTACCATATTGTCCATGTGGTGCAAATCCATCAGTACATAACCCTAAACGAACATTGCGTGCCTCTTTAGCGAATCTAGGATATGTGGTATCAAAATGCTTCCATGCCGGTGAATCTGATGGATGACACATCATGCCTTCTGGTGATTCGTGGTTCTTATGCCACGACATTTCACTCGCAGTAACAACAGAAGCATATAGTCTTTGTAACCTTGGTGCAAGTGGCAAATATCGAAGCGTGGTTACAGCTGTCAACTTACGTGTAACACCATCTCCTATACCTTTCTGGTTCTTGTATCTTTCTTCTCCACAGAACTTGCAATGGTGTAAGTCCTTGTCGTCTTTCCAAAACAGCATGCATCCCGATCTGCAAGTGTCAATATGATGGACAGGGAGGCCTAAATCTGATACTAACTTTCTCATCGCATAAAAACTCTCTGGGATGGTGTTAGGGCCTTCATGAGCATCTCTAAGCAATAACAAAAGTTCGGTCACACTAGCCTCTGACCAATTATGATCAGCCTTGATGCTCATTAATCTCGACACAAATTGTAGCTGTGAGAACTTTGTACCACATCCATAAAGAGGTCGGTCCGCAGATTCAAGCACACGAAAAAAAAAGATCTGGAGAGTCATTTGTGATTGGTGCTGAAAATGACTCACTGGGACCTTCATCACTTGTGTTTGGAGAGCTATCATAATGCTTTGGAACATTATGCCCACCAATAGCATCGTTTATCATCCTTTGATCCCAATTCATATTCTCATAATCATTCCATTGAGTGGAACTGTTGCCAGACATAGCGGCCAATAAATTCTCACGTTCAACGAAGCGCTCAGGATGAATAGGTTCACCTTGTGATGTCCAGTTAAAATAATTTTCAATAAATCCATATTTGTATAGGTGCCATCGAACATCTTCTGGATCTTTATATGCCCTGTTCTTACAATTTTTACATGGACACCTTATTTTAGTACCATCCATATATGTCGGATTCGCACGTGAAAATGTAATGAAATCCTCAACGCCACTTTCAAATTCATCGGACAAATCATTATTTTGTAAGTGGTTGTGATACATCCAACTCCTAGCACGTTTGTACATTGTAGCTGCAATACATATATTCTATGCTTAAATATCAATAAAAATTAACTAACTAACATTGTATTAAAATTTTAATTGCATATTATTATTATTATTATTGTTGTTGTTGTTGTTGTTGTTATTATTATTATTATTATTATTATTATTATTATTATTATTATTATTATTATTATTATTATTATTATTATTATTATTATTATTATTATTATTATTATTATTATTATTATTATATTATTCGTATTATTATTATTATTATTAGTATAATTATTATTATTATTATTATTATTATTGTTGTTGTTGTTGTTGTTGTTTTTGTTATTATTATTATTATTATTATCGTTATCGTTATTATTATTATTGTTATTATTATTATTATTATTATTAGTATTAGTATTATTCTTATTATTCTTATTGTTATTCCTATTATTATTAATATTATTATTAGTATTAGCACTACTATTATTCTTATTATTATTATTATTCGTATTATTATTATTTTTAGTATTATTATTATTATTATAGTTATTAATATTATTATCATAATTATTATTTTCATAATTATTATTATTACTATTATTATTACTATTATTGTTAATTTTATTATCATTGTTATTACAATTTTAATAATTAATATTAGTTGTAGTAGTATTATTACTTTGTGATTTTTATTCTTCTTCTTATTATTATTTAATTTAATTTAAATGATGAATATTAGAATGACAGTGTATTTTATAACAAAACCTGATAGGGTTTCCACTTTTCCCCAATGCGGAAACTTACATATTGTAGTTACTTATTATAATATACGAGTAATACAATTTTTTTTATATTTCATTTCAATAATCCCTATAAGAAAAATCTAAAAAGTGATAGTTACACAAAATATAAAATAACCAACATAATTAGTTACTCTAAATAAGTTACACTTTTAAACAAGATTATGATTTAAATGTTTTAGTTGTTGAATTCCTTTTTTATAAAAATAATAAAAGATATTGATCAAGATGAAATTGATTTTGTAAAAATTCTATTAACCCAATATTGTGGTGTTTATTACAAATGAGACTATTCATTTAATATACTACGTACTAGTAGTTAATTAGCCTGCTAGATTAATACACACAGTAAAGTCTTATTTATTTTGTTGAACATAAGAAGCCTTTTTATTTTACTAATATAATAACTACATTAATTAAAACAGAATGTATAATGTAGTATGCTAGAAAGTACAACAAAAAACTACATTATTTAATATTGATATCCCTTCGAAAAGAAGATCTAAAATTTTCTTATAAAGTAACAATATTATACTATGTATGACCGATCATTTTTCAAAATATACATATTTTTAGAGTGACATTTTCATACAAAATTAATATTAATTGAGAGTTATTCTACTTTTCATATTACCGCCGTCCAAACAACTAATAATTAAATAGCCAACATCAATTTAACTACAAGTTATGCATTTTTATGTTCCTTTTTTTTTTGTTTACATGTTGAATTGTTTTTAAATAAGTAATTAAATAACTACTCTGTATTCATTAAACAAATTTGATACAAACAACATTTTATTTGTCATCTTAAAATTTATCTAGTACTTTTAAAATTAGTAAACTGGTCTCTCACGATATCATATTTTTATTATATTTTCTCTACTTATAATCAATATTAGTTTCAAACATTTTCAATGACAGTATATTGTAACTTGTAATTATGTTTAATTCATCAAAGGTGAAATTATTAAATGAAAAATAAAGTTACAAATATTAACATTTCATTGAAATTATAAAAGATTTGTGCAGACACTTACGGAATTGAATATGGTGTGAATAATGGAAGAATTGTTCTTCAACTTGAGTTCACATTTCGTCCGATCTTCCTTAATCAGCTTCAAAGTTAAATTAGCAGCAAGGAGCTATATAATATTGACTTTCTTTTCTAATGTAAAACATTAGAGTGCTTGGAGGTGGAAGGAGAAAAAAATTGAAGTGAAAGAGAAATCACTCTTGTAAAATTATAAGGATTAATCTAATATATATACACAAAAATAATGTTGATCCTAAACTTGCGACACTGGATAGCTTCGACTAACAAACTCCCGCAGGCCGGTAGATTGAATCGGTCATTGATTTTTTCACTAACTATTTAGGTGAGAAAAGTGGTGAAAAATACTTTCAATTTAGTCACTCAAGTTTAGGTGACAAAGATGGTGAGTATAGTCACCACACTTTTTGGTGCCAAATTTAAGTGCCTAAATGAAGGTTTTTTTGTAGTGTAAATCGTGGCCTATACGTTCGTATTGGAGCATTAAATGGCTAAGATACAATGACATACCATTATTTCGGTCAGAACCAGCTTTGGGCCCTAGGAAGGTAGGCACTTGCATAGGGCACCACTTGGAGATGGGGCACCATTTTTTAAAACTAGTATTACATAGTATTGCTAATTATGTACATACGTATTAGTTAAAATGAAAATATTGTATTGAAAATTTGGAAAACACAAAAAGTGCATTAGGATGTTTTTACTTGGACTGTAATTTGTACCAGATCAGATCAGACCAGACCAGACCAGTCCAGACCAGACCAGACCAGACCAGACCAGACCAGACCAGACTTGGATAGTTATAAAAATACAAAGAAACCAGACCTTACCGGACCAGACCAGACCAGTTCAGACCAGACCAGATCAGACCAGACCAGACCAGCAAATTACAGTCCAAGTAAAAACATCCTTAGTCTAAAAAAGACCCACTAACCCCCACTAACCCATCACCCATACGGCCATTCTCTCATACCCTATTAGGCTATTACTCATGTGAGTGCTTAACAACATTTCACATTGAGTTTTGAAATTCTTTAATTTTTTTTGGAAGAGTTTTGAAATTCTTTAATTTTTTTTGAAATTCTTTAATTAAAAAAATAAGTTAAATGATACTCCATAATGAATAGAATGCAAATTGCAAGGCACATTCAATAATAATAATTTAACATATTAAATAAGAAATTAGATACAAATGATAAAGATGAGAATAAAAATATTGATGTTAAAAATGAAAATAAGAATCATGGTTTAAGCGGCTTAATAAAGATTCAATTGTAGATGGCCGAAATATCAGTTGTGAGAAGGATATTTTACATTTATAATTTTATCTATTGGGAAATTACTTAAATAAGAATAAAAGTGTGCATATCATGTTTTTATTTCTAAAAAATAATTAATCACTGCCATGTTTTGATAATACTAGACTTTAAACAAAACAATTTTTTATCAACTTGACAGTGATTACTCCTATTAATGTAATAAAAACATGACAGATCTATTTTGTAATTCTTAAACGTACATTTTTACTCCTATTTCGAAATGTTTGAATACTTATATATCATTTGTAGGTTAATTATTACCTCTTACAATCTGTTATGCGTACATTCAGTAGGAATCACATTCCTTCAATTTTTAATTACTTCATATTTTATTTTATTATTGATTTAAAGTATTATGGAAAATTCATTCTTTGTCTGGGGAACAAAAATTCCCAAAGACGGCCCTGATTTCGGTGCAGCGGAGGTAGAAAATTAAGGCTTTGTTTGCAAACTATATTTATAAGTGCTTTTGGCTTTTTTTTTTAAAGAAAAAAACACTTATTTTACCAAACACTACCAACTTTTACTATCTCGGTTTTCGTGTAGAATCTACTTTTTACTTTTTTATTACACAAAACACTTATTTTACCAAACAGTACCAACTTTTACTACTAATCACTTTTTCCCAAAAAGTGCTTTTATTTAAGCACAAGTGGTTGCAAACAAAGCCTAAAACCATTAGCTATTGGATTTGACTATTAAGCAGGGCCGGTCCTGGTATAGGGGCAGCCTGGGCTGCTGCCCAGGGCCCACCAGGAAAAAGGGCCCCATAGATTTTATAGTAGTTGTTATATATATAAATTAATAATACTAAATATCTAAATTAATTAATAGTACTCCGTATAGTCGTATACAGTAAGATATCAATCTCTATTTCGTAGTTCTAGATTGAGCCAAGACCCACATGCGAGAGGAAGACTTTCGAACTCCCTCACAAAAATCGAAAACTAAACATTAATACCAATCCTAACCAATTCTGGATTTAGTTCCCAAACGTTGGATACTCAATCTTTCCGCCTCCCTGATACAAATCATATGAATCTCTTCGGTCTCTTATAATCAACTACACGCTTTGCTTAATTGATTCAACTGTCAACCTTCGTTATTCTTTGCTCTCAAATCTTAAATTCTCAATTCTCAAATTCTTAATTTTTTCCTTTTCCTCTAATCCTCTCTAGACCTCTCAAAGGATTCAACCATCAGACGAGGACGAGCACTGCCACACGGTGCTCACAGGAATTTACTAATTATGTAAATTGACTACATTAATTTATAATTTTAATTATTTAGTATATTACTTTATGGGTTTACTTGTAGTACTAAGCCAATGGCGGGCGGATAGCTTCTGTCTTTTTCATATTTTAGCATCCTTTTCTCTCTGGGTTTACTTGTATCTAGTATATTACTTAGAAAATGGTTTTTAATTAAGGATATAAAGTTGAAATTTATTTATATCTTTTAATCTTTCCATACAATTGGTCGATTGCTATTTTGCATTTTCGCTTTTTAATCACGAGCTTTTTGTAGGGGATCATATATTGCAAGCGTTCACCGGCACTAACATCTATAGGGCCTATTTTTTCTCTTTTGCCCCGGGCCCATAATTAGTCAGGACCGGCGGTGCTATTAAGATACGAAATGGTGGATTTGTAAATAATTCAGCTTCCACTATTATTTAAAACAAAACGATCTATACTTATATTATCAGAAAAAATAATCCGCTAAATTAGGCATTGCACACTTAAATCCTAATGTAACCGTAATAAGCTGAGCGAATTAAATTATGGAAGAGTGCAAAAGGATAGGTTTGTTTTATGAGAAATGATCCCAAATAGGACCAAAATTTTACTTATGTATCCGAATAGGAGTAGCTACTTTTTTAAACCTAAATAGGACTACTTTTTTATTTAATCCCACTTTTGCCCTTGATTTAATTGTAGCAGACTAGCAACACTCTTCTTCGTCGGATCTGAAGTGCGCTCTTCCTTAGTCAAACTACAGAGGCGGAAAACGAATAAGATGAGAAACCGATGATGGACGGCAACCAGGTTTCAGGGCGGCGCCGATGAAGATGACGGCCAAGACGGATATATCTTGCACCGCTTCTCTGTTTGAATTATCAATTCTCCGGTGAATTGGATTTCGCCGCTGCAAGTGAAGGTTGTCGGGATGCTTCTGGCGGCGAAGAAGTGGCTCGCCGGAGCAATTTGTTCGAGCAGCTTGAAGAAGTGATGTGTAGTGTTAAGCAGGACCTATTGTGGGCCGATTCCATGATTTCTGAGCTCAATCCGTTCACTATGCCCCAATCTGAATTCTCCACCTTTGTCAACGGTCTTCCCAGCCCGGCTGCCTCATCTCAGGTCTGCGACGACTCTCCTTTCGATTTCGCAGATCTAGCCACAATTCCGGGTAGAGCGGCATATCCTCGAGTCGAGACACCTCATGCGGCGGTTGAGCAGCCTCCTCTCAACAAGAGATTCAAGTCTGTGTCCAATTCTCAATCTTCTACCAGTCAAGTCGCGCTGTGGTCCTCGTAAGAGATGAAAACTGTGAAGGAACTCAGGAAGAAGATGCGGCTGAAATTCCCCAGCAAGTCATTTTTCAATTTCTTCATCTTTTATTTTGATTAATCTTTTTTATTCCTTTATTTTTTATTTATTAAATTGAATGAATAATTTATCTTTTTTAAGACACATGACATTGCGAAGTTGTGTTTGACAACACTGTACCCCTTTTTCAATATTTTTATTGTTTTTACTTAGGTATCATTTGAATCGTTCCAGCCTTCCAGGGCACCTGTGTTTGGTTTTAATGTTTTTCAAAATTCCTTTTCCAAATCTCAACTTTAGTTTGTTTTGTTTAATTTTTATATAAATTGCCTCTTCATTGTTATTTTAATTTAATTCCTTTAGCCATTTACATTATTTATGTTATATTTTAACAGTAAGGGAAAATAAACATAAATCATAAAGTGATGGATGTGAATTGGTTTTATCTTGCAAATGTTGCTCTGGTTGAAAATAAAAATGTCATTAATTTTAACAATGTCGTTTTCATAATGATTGACATTCTTATGACATTGTCATTGACATTCTTATCACATTATCAATGACATTTTTATAACATTTTTATGACATTGTCATTGACATTGTCGTCATGATTAATCGACATTATAACATTTTTTCAACATTGTGACTTTTCTTTTATAAAATTAACATTGTCATAATAGTTATTGACATTATCATAATTACAATGTCATTTTATAGCATCGACAATGACATTGTCATTGTAACATTTTCTTAACCCGGTGACATTTTTATACATTTTAACAATTTACATTGACTGTATGCATTATTCTACATTTAATTTTATTATGATATTGACATTGCTAAAATTCTAATAATGAAAATGTTGATAAGTGATTTTAATATAATGGCATTTTTATGACGTTAATATATATTTTTTAATATATCAACACAATTTACAGTTTAATAGTGACATGATACAATTATATAATTTCAGTTTTATTGTCAATGTCATTGTTACAATGTCATGATTTTTAGGAAAAATTGATAGTAATAATCCCAACTATTGGCGGTCCACTCATAATAATCCCAACTATTGATTATTACAGAATAATCCCAACTTTAGGGACCTTCCGCCAATAATGGTCCCTATGAATAAATTCTTGTAGTTTCTAAAGTGGATGAGATGAGATATAACAAGTAATTCCTATAAATAATCTCAACTTTTAATTTTTACGCTTAATTTCTATTTAAAATTCACTTTTTATAGAGGTAATATATGGTCATGGACCATTATTGGCGGATAGCCTATATAGTTGGGATTATACAAAAATAATCAATAGTTGGGATTATTTTCAGCGGACCGGCAATAGTTGGGATTATTATTTTCAATTTTTCCTGATTTTTAATAAGACAATGATATTGTAATTATTCGACATTGTATCATGTTTATACATATTAACATGTTTAAAAATCAATGTCATTATATGAGAAGGTAATATAATGACATTGTTTAAAATCAATCTCATTATATGATAATGTAATATAATGTCATTATTTAAAAATTAATGTCATTGTTTAAAAATCAATGTCATTGGTAAAAATTGATGTCATTACATAACAATGTAAAATATGTCATTGTTTAGTTTTCAATGTCATTATACGACAATGTAATATAATTTCTTTATTTAAAAATCAATGTTATTATATGACAATGTCAAATAATGTTAATGTTATAGAAAATTTGTTGTCAATGTTAAATAAAAACAATGTTTTTGTACACATGCCATCAATTACATTATTATCCTGAGAATAAATGAAATTGAAAGCTAAAATAACAAACACAAATTGTACTCCGTATAAGTATATGTATAACACTATAACTCAGTGGCCCGATTCATATATGGAAATATTATCGTGAATGAAGAATTATGACAATGGTTTTAAAATGTCATGGTAAAATCTCTATTGTAAAAAACGGATCAGTGGATGGCCATTGGACTTCAGCCGTTCAGCCCCCTTTCCCCAATATTTATTAGTTCAATAGCAATTGAATAGATTTTCCAAAATAAATAAAATAATCTAGAAAATCGATTTCACTAAAGGAATCGGCAGCACAAAGCTCCAGACACATGCTTGGTAAATAAAACAACATGAGTGTAGACCGGCGAAGAAGACAGAAGACCGGAAGCGGTAAAGGCTCAATCTCGAAATTGAGGAAGAATAAAATGGAGAAGAAGGAAGGAGGAAAAGGAATTGAAGACCAAGGAAGTAGATGGAAGAGACAGAAGAAAAGGGAAGAAGAAGGAAGAAGAAGACCTGGCAACTTCTCCGGGGACGATCTGATATCCGGCGACGACAAGTGGTCCGACGATAATCAACGGCAGACGGTCGGCAATGAACACATGGCATCTCAAATCAATACCGTCGAGAAGAATTACTCCCGCTTATTCTCCAACTCGCTCCATCATTGCAAGGACGAAGAAACTTACTGATTCACCGCATAAATGACGGGAACAAGATGGGGACAAGACTTCCTGTAGCTGCTCCGATCTGGACTTGCGATTTCTCTTGTCCAGGGGTATTTTTGTCTTCCCGTTCAAATTAAGTCTTATTTAGGAGTTAAAAACTTCTAACTCTTATTTTCATTCCCCGTCATTGATTTACTCCTATTTGAATCTTATTCCCTTGTTTTATTCATAGCCTATTAATTATTGGAAATGAGGGTGCAATACAACGGGAATGTTTATATGTGCATGTATGTCGGATCGAAGTGGTAATATATTAATTATTACGTGGCGAGATAGGATTGAATGTAACTAGCAAAACAAATACTATGTGGAGTGCTTGCAACTTTTTTATTATATTGTTTCAAAATAATTAAAGTAATAATTGAATAGTTTGAGGTTTTGTATTCAATGCATAATATGGAGTATAAGCTAATACGTTCATAAGTCGATGGTACAAATGTTTAATAAATAGAGTAATAATTAAATTCGGTAGAAAATACGCAACTTCTAAGTTAATATGTGCATATGTGCTTGTTAGAAGTATGTGAATATTTCCCTTTACGACGTACTACGTAGTAGTAACTAATGAGTATTGTTTTTAGAATTATTATGATGTGCATTGAGAAGTTTTATACTACCTCCGTTCTCTTTTAGTTGCAACGTATGACTTTTTTCACTATTCACAGATTCTACTTTGACCACATTTTATTTATTAATATATTATGAATTAAATTTTTAAAAAATATTTTTAAATTCCTCTCATAATAAATTTTCAAAATCTGATTTTTTTGATTTTTTTACTAATAAGGAATGAAAGATATTAACGGTCAAACTTCTGCGTTGGCAAACGTGAAAAGTTGACTGTTGCAATTAAAAAAGAACGGAGGAAGTATGTGCATGAAAATGAAGTGATGAAAGTGATAATTTATTTAGTGATGATAAAGGGAGGACTAAACTTGCAAATAGGTACATATAAGTTATTATTGCAATGTTTATGTTTCTATAGCATGATTTTGGAAAAAATAAAAAGTCATCTTCAATCTCATGAAAAGTAAAAAAAATAAATCGGGTGCATCAGTTCTAAGATCTAGTGGTTCTAAATATGTCACAAATGCGGTGACATTTTTGTTAATAAATCAATATTTTTCTTCTTTGTATAAAGTGGAATTCGTGTGTGCAATAATGCATCATAAATGATTAAAAGTGGATGACGTAAATTCGTAAAACATCTCAAGGCAATATAGTGCACCTCACATGCTCAATAGTGGAGTCGTTCACACTTGTATAGAGAGACTAGTTTTTATTAGAATCAGACCCTATCTATATATGCAAATGTGTCTGTCGAGTATTTCAATATATTAGTACGTATTTAATAATTATTATTTTTGAACATTTATTTAGTGCAATAGAACTTTTTATATGCGCGCAATATAACTTAATAACGTATTTATAGTACAATAAATAGAATATGTTTTATTTTTTCAAGGAACTATTAATAAATTGAATACAATGTATAGTACATAGAAATTAGAAATGAATGGAATAAGTTTTATTTTCTATTTATTTTGACAATACATGCTTCATTTTCAAATATTAATATAATACATGATAAAATGAAAAGAATCGAAAGTCCTTTTGTAATCATATAAATGGAGATAGTGCGATACGATGTTAAAATGAAGAAGAAGCAATAGTGAGAATCATGATCTGGGACATATGTTAAATAAAATTCTTACCATTACAGTATTTTCGGTAATTAGGACTAGTGGAGATTTCATTAAATGCAATGGGAGTATTACTAAAATGCCCTTTTAAATGACTTTAAAATTCCATCCATCGATCCATCAACACATAAAGAGTATATGGTTGTGATGCATTCTCATTTTTGATCACTTTTTATTTGATCGGAATTTTATATATAGATATATAAACATTTATATATAAACATTTAAATGTTAACTGTGTTTTGAGTCCCTTGAAATAAATATGAGATTTTTTTATGCAAATAAATATGAGCTTATAGCACTATTTATTTTATGTACTGCATTTTAACATGAATTTTAATAAGCACTGTTTAATTTTTGTTTGCCCAATTACCCATATTTGGGGGAATATATATCGAAAAAATAGTAATCCATGCCTCGCCAAGTCCCATTGTCCCAAAGACACAACCCACTAGGATCCTTCCATGCTACCTCCATTTATTGTAGACAGCAACCTCCGATTACTCAGCCAGTGATAGCTCGTATATAGGTTACGGTTTGATGGGTGCATTTAACGCATACTTTATCAAATGCCATAAGTCTTGATGATGGGGCATGGAAGGGAGATAGCAGATCAAATTAACGGATTAAAGACAAAATTATGCATTCATTATTTCAACTTCCCATTTCATAGGCCGGTGAGTTCTACTTGAAAAGATGCACAAGCCCTCATTCTCAAATATCATCAAAATATATATCGTGCTTATTCTATAATTTAATATTAATACTCATTTTATTATAACGTTTTGTTCATCTTTTTAACATAAAATATACGGTTGTACCGTGTGCACGGTAGAATCGGTTGTCAATATATTTTGCGCTGTCTTGATGCTTTTAGCTGGAATTCAACACTTCTATTCAAATCCTATTATTTTTTCAATGTTTTGGGACTATTTACAAACATTTCTATTCAGCTCATCAAATGAAAAAATAAAAAAAAAAACGGATTATGAACATTTAGAAAAGTCCTCTAATTAATTTTATCTTCAAGCAATTATGTATGGAATTCTAATTGGTCCACAAAAATTAATTTCAACAAAAGTTTCTTCTTGTTCTTTACAGAGTATAAGTTTAGTCACTTTATTAGACAAAGCTAGTAAAAGATAAGGGGTATGTAATACTTTGATTTTCTGCAAGTCTCATACTAATTACACTTGAATATTATCTTGTTCTAAATACCCTTCATCTCATTGATAACGTATGAGGCTAAATAATTGAATGATCAATTTACTCCGAATTATAGAGCCCAAGATACAATAATTTTGGGGGGAATGAAACATTCCTCGTCAAGATAGCCTTGCAAGAGCCCATTTGCTAGCACCAAAATCGGCTCTTTTTGCTGATTCTGCTGAAATTTATGATGTTCTGGCTGAAGTGGCTGCATTGGCTGATGTTGTTGATTTTAAAAAAAAAATTTAAAATATATTTTATTAATAAAATTAAGAAAAAATTATCTGTAAAAATAGCTAAAATTATCAGCTACAATAACTTCAGCCAATACAGCCAGAAAAGTAACTACTCCCTCCGTTTCTATTTGGTTGACACACTTTCCTTTTTTGGACGTTTCAAAATGAATGCCACACTTCTTTATTTCCTTATTTGGTGAATAAATCTTTACCTAAACAGTGCAAAACAGTGCCAAACAGTGTTCAAACAGTGCCAAACAGTGTTCAAACAGTGCCAAACAGTGTACTCTACAGTAAAATTTACCCCTCAATAAATTTTTTCCCTTAAATCTTGACAAGTCAAACTGTGTCAACCAAATAGAAACGGAGGGAGTATAACCTTACTCTTTCTGCTTATTATACAATCCGGTGCACGAAAGCAAAAGTCATGTCTTTGGTGCAAAAGTTGACTGACTGATAAGCTTGATAAGCTGAAAAACAGTACTACCAAACGTCCCTAAATGTTTTATTTTAATTTCCACATCTACTTGGCTATTTCCTTGGCACATAATAGATGTAGTACCCCTATATGTATAATGGGCCCCACAGGATGAGCATAGAGTATGTAACCATGTATAGAACAAGTGTTGCTCCGTCGTATCGCCATCCGTCCATTCTACACTTCCTCTCCTAATGACAAGTGTTTATTTGAGCCAAGATAGATTATCCATCTCTTTCTCATTAATCAAAGTCCTTTAAAGGGACAATACACCGTCTCTTTGGTTGCAAAGATATATAGATAGAGCATATCAATGTCATTCATAAATAACCGTTGATGACAACCATGCTTACATTCATCCGTCTCTTATTAATGAAGCTCAATTTCTGATATATGGCCAATGGATCTAACGTATTCACTCATCAGTCATCAAGATGCTCCATAAATTTACATTCGATTCTCCAGTTTACGTCAACTTAACAAGAATAAAACAATAAAACTTTAGGTAAAAATGGGCAAGTCTTTTTTTTTAAGGAAAACTTATATAAATTCAAACGATCCAAAGCAACAACAGAATGCCAAGAACTAAATCCCCCTCTAATCTTTAGAAAACCAAAGTCCATCGGCCCCCTCACGTTATGACCACGTTATGACCAAACATAGAATAGTACACCCTAGAAAGAGCGAGACTAATCGCTGAAATTGTGAGAGCATAGAGGCTATAGCGGCTGCATCAGTTTGATTGCCTCCAACCAGTAATCTACCAACTAAAGTAAAACAAAACACCCACCTACCCCGCTTATTGTTTGACATAGTAGGAATAAAATAGAAATAAGAAAATAGTCTGGACTGAAAATAAAAAACTAGAAAGAGTAAAACAGTCTTCCAAACCCTATTTGCGCAAATCCTCCATGGTGGCGGTTCACAAGGGGGACGGATTTTCGTCACTTCATGTTCTTTCTTCTTTGCTTCGAACTGCCCGTAGTCAACCAGACCAAAACCGAGCCACCTCCACATCCCTTTCCAGAGCAATCTTCCCCGTCTTCGTTCCTCCATGGCCTCCATTGTCCCTGTCTGACGTTGACCAAGCAGACATGTTCCCATACGCAGACAAAAACTGCCCACCAACGAATCTGGTTGCTAAAACGCAGTAGGAATCAAATAGCTTCGAGAACGAACTTCGCCAGCTGACCTCTTGCTAGCGAACACTCGGACGCTCTCACCGTGATAATCACAGCGCCGCCCGCCAAATTCCGCAGACGCTGGTTGAAAATCCTAGCTGCACCCTTCCGGTAAGTTTATCAAAATAAAGTCAAGTATATATTGGTAAGTCTTTTCATGAAAAGAAAACAATAATATAGTACCAATATTTGAAAAATATTAAAACTTTTCCATTTTTTATTTATTTGGTGAATGGTGTTAAATTTTGACGAACGTATTATATTAGTGTTCTTTGTCAAAAATACTTAAGGAATTGTCATTAAAAGAAGTAACAAGTAACAAAATTTGGACAACCGGAAGAAGACATCGATCATGCCATCAGATCATGTCCAAAAGTTGAACAGGTCTGGCAGGCTGCTGGGGTTTCCACCGAGTTGCAGCAGGGGTCTTTTGAAGACTGGTTCCGCAAAAAGGTGGAGACAGCACCAAACAAAGAGGGCAGCAACTTTATAGCTCTTATTTGGAGCATTTG